GTCCCACCCACGCCGCCCCGCGGCGGCCCCTCACCGTGGCGGTGGGGTTGCCACCCCCCGCAGCCCGCTGGAGGTGGCAGTTGAAGATTTCCTCTGCGCGCCTCAAGTACTGCGTGATCTTCCGCTTCACGGCCTCCCGACGCTCCTTGTTGGGGTCAACTGCAGTCGGCACAGAAGGCGGGCGTGAGGGGCCCGCCACGCTCCCCGGAGGGGTGCCCCAGTCCCCTCCTCACGCTCCAGAGAGGGATGTCCTGGTCCCCTTGTCCTTCTCCCTGGAGGGATGCCCTGGTCCCCTGGCCCCCTTCCCCAGAAGGATGCTCCGGTTCCTTAACCTTCTCCCAGTAGGGACGCACTGGTCCCCTGGCTGCAGCCACCGGAGAGATGCCCCTGTCCCTTCACCACGCTCCCCAGAAGGATCCCCTGGTCCCCCTGCCGTTCTCCCTGGAGGCTCCCCTGGTCCCCCCCCCCCCGGCCGCACCCCCCCGCAGGGACGCCCCGGCCCACCCCGCCCCGCCCTCCGGGGAGGCCCCACGCACCCTGCACGCCGCGCAGCAGCACGTCCACGCCGTTCTGGTAGTGGTTGAAGGCCTCCTCGTAGTCCTCGCTGACGTCCCGCTCCAGCGCCAGCCGCAGCTGCCGCGCCGCCTCCACCAGGTAGTCCCGCCGCCCGCCGCCCTCGGGGCCGGCCGGGGGGACGCGGCCCCGCAGCTGCCCCAGGTAGACGCGGGCCTGCGCCAGCGCCCGGGAGCAGGGCTCGGCCTCCGCCCGGCTCATGGCCCCGCACCGCCGCCCTGCGCCGCCGGGAGACAGCGAGCGGGGACGCGCGGGTGAGCCGCGCCCGGTGACCGGCGCCGGTGACCGCCGCGGCCCCCCCCATTCCCGCCTCCCGTTCCCCGCTCCCCGCTCCCGCGCGCACGCACCTGCGCGAGCGCTGCCGGCGGCTCCCTCCGCCGGCGGCGGGGAGGGGCGGGGCCGGGCCGGGCCCGCGTGCCGCCGCCGCGCGCCCCCGGGGCGGCGGGGCTGCCGGGCCGGCGCTGATTGGCTGCGGATGAGATCATCATCGTCATCATCATCATCATCATCATCATCATCATCATCGTGTCCCCCCCCCCCAGCCCTCCCGGGGGTCCCGGTCCCGCCGCCGCCGCCGCCCCAAGGCAGGTTCCTCACGGCTCCGTTGGCGCGCGCTGCTTGCTTTATCGTCATCGTTTTTCACCGTTAATTGTCCTTAATTAATACAGCTCCTGTTCTTTCAGCGCTGCATTTGCTGCCGTGTTTCCTTCCTCCCCTCGCCCGTAATTAGCCGTGTTTTAAACAGCCGTTGCCCCCACCCACCTCCCGCGGGGTGCCCGCTAAGGCCCCTTCCCCACCCCCGTCCCACCGCACTGACGATTCTCGCTGAGCCGGTGTCGTTGCCCACCAACCCTCGGCTGGCCCTTTTACCAACTCTTGCAGACCCATTTGGTTTTACAAACTTATTTCGAATATACGGAGCAGGGAACGTCAGCACAAATGCATAAAGGTGCAACAAATGGCAGCGTAGTGGAGATCCCAGCTGGTGGTTAACAAATGCTTTCTACGCGGAAAGTATCAGTCTTTGGCTTAACTCAGAAGCATGCTAAGCCTCCTGGCCCGGCTTTTTCTTGGAAGGCCAGGTCTGCAGGGCCCTCAAGATCACCGCAGTTATCAGCGAAGGAGAATTGCTGAATCAGGAGTGTTCAACCGGTTATGGCTCAGGCCAGTTGGTTTGCTGTGTCTGTGAGATGGTCAGTCCAGGTCCAAATAACCGTCTTTCTGGAGGAGTGGCAGGGGACCTGCAAAGGCAGAAAAGCGGGAATAAAATCCCAGTGATACCTTAAGAAAGAGTGTGCTAAGATTGGTCGGGAAGAGGGAGGCACCTGCCTCTTTGTCCATCCCTTGCTAACCTCTGGGCATCTCCCACTGCAGCAGCAAACGTTTCCAGCAAGGCGGTTTCACTTGGGCGGGAGCTGGCCCCATCCCGTGCCGTCGCAGCCACACCAGCCTGGACGGCCACTGCGTTTGGCCCCTGCTGGAGCCGGTCCTTGCTACGGGACTGGCCCCAGCCTTTCCCAGGGAGCGACCCAGGGAGCTCAGAGAAGGCTCCAGAGCCAGGCCAGGATGCCCAAAGGGGCACCCGTTTGTGGCTGACCTGTTACTTCATACCCTGCACGCACTGATGGTGGGGGAGCTCCCGTGGCTCGGCTCCCCTGGGCAGCTCTTTTGCACAGCCCAGAAAAGTAAAGCCCATGCCCACAGCTCAGCTTGGCATTCAGCAACTAAATGCTTTCTTTCTTATGAAAACCATTTGCTTGGGAGTACAAAAGGATACTACTTTGCCTCAGAGGGCAGGTCTGGTAAGGTGCAAAGGGGTCCGGTCTGCTTTGTAAGACAATCCGCTACCCAAACACGACCTGTGTGCTTGGTTCTCTCGTTTCCCCTCAAAACACTTCCAGGTTCCCTTTCCCACCAATCTACCTAACAGAGACAAATTTTTTCCTGCTCAGCCTGTTTATACCCCTCGGTTTCTAGGACCTTTTAATTCCTATCAGAGCCCAGGGGCTCCTCCTTCAAGAGAAAAGTCTGAGCCAGCAAGAAATGAAGCAGGGCCTGGGATGAGAGCAGGGATGTTGCTGGCACGACTCAGCTGCCTGACTTCAGCAGATCCATGCAGGCCTGGAGATGACAGAGAGCACAAGTAAACTACAAAACCTGGTATAAAGTATCTGTAGAGGGGTTTGGATATCGGGCTGATGGTGGTAGAGAGATGTGTGCAGAGGAGTCACCAGGAGGGCAACAAAACTCCAGTGAGTTAATTGCTAAGCATCTCCTTTAGCCCTCGCGGAGATAAACCAGCCATTACCCAAAGTCACATCAGGACTGTATTTAAAACATGTTATTGCTTCACAAAGTTAAAGCTGTGTCTCCACTGGAAGGGAAGAGCCAAAAGACGGTGGTTTGACCTCCTTTTGGGAGCCCACAGCGGAGTTTTGCAGAGCTGAGCGAGGCTGAGTTTGGGCACTGCTGGGGTTGCTCAGCCCCGAGCAGTCACACTGCAGGGCCAGTGAGGCAGAGGGGACAAGGGGCAATGCAGAAGAGAGTGAGCTGAAGGCATCAGCAAGAAGTGCCCCAAGGACTGGCCTGTGAAGAAGAGCCTTGCAAAGGGAGAAGACGTTTATGAGCCCTGAGGCACAGCAGCCCTTTCCTGTGGGCTTCCAGTTTCCCATGTCAGTGCTGTCTGGAGGATCTTAAGTTTGGAGGGTTTCCTTTTAAATTAACCTGCTGAAGAGCTTGTGGCCCTTGTCGGGAAGTGGGAACTTCCAAAGCAACACCAACACCAACAAATAACAGGGAGGGGAGCGAGAACTGCCCTTTTTCTCACAGCCTAAAACAGATGCATGAGAGCTAGCAAAAGCTTTAAACACGCTGAGAATGGAAACATTGCTGGCTGCAACAAGCAGAAAGATTATGCCCAAATTAGTGAGGTTGCAAAATCTTTTAAGTCACAAGCAAGAGGTTAGGATCTCAGCGCTTTGTTATTCGCACAGAGACAGAGCGGAGACTGATGCTGGCATGTGCAGGGAGAAGCTGCTGGGAGGCAGCGCTCTGCTGGCATCCCAGGGCCAGGGAGGCTGGAGGTTGCCAGCAAAGATTTAACATCAGGACATCATCAGCTCTGATGCTACATCACTGGGCTGATCTCCACATCACCTTTTCAGGTACTTCCCCAAAAATAGGTGATGTTATGTTCCTGGTGCAGCCTGGAGCCCAGCTTATGATTTGTCTCCCCTACAACTTTCCTTCTAAACCGTCTTGCTGCGGCTCTGGCTACTAAAGCCTTATTAAACAAACCTTTGCTCTGTAAGGCTGGGAGACACAGGGAGCCCAGGGACGCTGATAACCCAGTGGCATGCCGCTCCCGTGAGACAGCTGCCCGTCTGCAAGGGGTACGCAGGCAGGGGAAGGACGGGAGATTTGGGAGCACCGTGGCTGGGGCATGTTTTCTGCCTGTCCATGGAGGACCAGCACAAAGCTGTTCTGCTCCCCGCTGGCTTTGGGGCTGGGGTCTGTCCCGGTCCCTTTACAAGGGAACCAGTCCGCTCCTACAGCCCTGCTCTGCAGTGCCTGGGGGACACGGGGGTCTGTAGTTGTAGCTGACCTTGTCAGGGTGCTCAGGGATCAGGCCTGCTGCGGCCAAGGAGGGCTGACAGGAGCTAGTGGTGTAAGCCTCCAAAAAAAAAGGTACAGGAAGGGGACAGGCAGACAGTGTCTGGGTCCCCTTGGGAGGGAGCATGGGTGGTAGCTGTGAGCCCCGAGGCCAGGAGCAACCCTTAGGGGCAGCAGGCCCCTACCCTGACCCTCATGTCACTGTTGGGTCCTGCTGGAAGTCCCTGCCACCCTAGGGTGAGGAGGGTCCCAGGACTCTCCCCTCGGGCAGGGACACACAGGGGCAGGGAAGGGAGCCAGTCCTCCCCTGGGTGCATGATGCCTGAAGCAGCCCTGGGAGCGTCAGGTTGCTGCTAGAGCTTGCTGGGTTCCCCTCACCTCTGAAGCCTCAGTGAAGCACCTCCTGGGAGCTGGAGGGAGCCCTGACACCTGGAAATGCAGCTCCCAAACCTCCCGTGCTGGTGGTGCCCTCCCCTGCTCATGCCCTGCCCCAGCTGACCCCCTGGTCGCTGCCACAGCAGGACAGCCACACGCCTCCCAGGCACCCACGTCCTTGCTGCCCACCCCACAGGATGAGCAGGGGATGAGGCCGCATACAGCACCCGGGGCTCTCGGGTGACGCAGGGGGAGAAGCGACGGCGAGTGGCCGTGCGAGGCAGACACCCGGCCCCACTGGGTCTGGGCAGAGCTGCCTGAAAACTCTCAGTGCCGATCAGCAGGCAGAGAGGTGACACCAGGAACGGTTAGGAAAAGCCAACGGGGCAGGAGTTGGCTTGAATTTTTTTTAACCCTAATCACCACTCTTGACAAACTTATTTTAATTAATTAACATCCTTGGGTTTATGGAACTTCCTTTTTAAAGGTTTAATACTATTGCGGTGAAACTTTCATTGTTAAAAACAGCACAGAATCCATCATGTACAACCCTCGAGCTCTGCACACAGCTCTCCTTAGCCTCAAAGTGCGACCACTGAGGCTGAAATGGCATGTGGGGATTGGGAGAGCCTACACGGACCAGGACAGCCCACCAGAACTAGGGTGCCACATGGCCCATGCAGACCCCAAGTGGCATGGGAAGGGGAGCAGTGAGTCCCCCTTGTCCAGGAGGCAGCCAAGGAGGAGCTTCATGGGCCGTTGTTGAGGCAGAGCCTGTGTAGGCTGTGACCCAGGACACTGTGGATGCCAGGAGTAGAAACGAGGTCCAGAAGAGATCCAGCAAGATCTTAGAGGATGTGCCCAGCTGCAACTTACCAAGTCCACTCCAAGCTGCATGGTGGCAGCGTGGAGGTTCACATCACCTCAACATCCACCACCAGCTTCCCCTGCCAGGGGACCTGCCCTGTCCCCAGGTCCTTGTGCCAGACCCAGGCAGCACCAGCATTACAGCGCTGAGGGAGCCTGTCCCAGCTACGGGCTGCCACGTCAAATGTGGGGAGGAGCTGCCTTGGACCCCAACACCTGCAATGTTAGGCTCCACACTTGTTCCTCAGTGCAGGAAAAAAAGCAGGTCACTTAACTGGATGGTAACACTGAAGCCTTCGCACATCTTGCCCTCCAGTCTTTTGCTTGAAGCGTTCAAGAACAACCCTTGATTTTGCTTTAACCTTGTTCCAGGGGCACCCCACAAGCATGCTGGTGCCCGACTCACCCTTAGGCATTCCAGCTACGTGCGCTGCTCCGGGGTACAGCTCGCACAGAGCAGCACAGGATGCATTCAGCAGCCAGCCCCAGCCCCCCTGCAGCAGGAGCAGGAAAGGGGAGAGGAAGAGACCCGGGGGCACTGCTTACAGCAGAAGCAAGGGCTGGGGCTGTACCCCAAGACCTGGCTGAGTAGGGAAACCAGGAAACGGCAGCACCCACAGCCACCTCGATGAGGGCCACCAGCCCCCTACACAGTAAGAGACAGGGCCCCCAGGCCAGCCTGCCCCCATGCTGGGTGAATGAGCCTTGGTGGGGTGTTTCTTGGGTGGGAATGCCCACAGGCAGCCTGCCCCCTCCCCCAACCTTGCATCACCCCAGCCAGGGAGAAGGAAAGCCAACAGGACAGCGAGCCAGACGCTTGGACTGGGGTGAGAATGGGATGGGCCTGGTGAACAGGGAGAGGTACCAGCCCCACGCCCTGGTGTGGGAAAGGGCCTTTCTGCCAAGGGCCTCCCAGTACCCACCTAAGCTCCAGCACATGGGCGATCCCCAGCCTGGGGAGCAGCTGGCTCCTGGCCTGCTGGTTGCCCATCTCCAGCATCACACCAAGAGCAGCCCCTCTGATGCTGCAGGAGCTGGTGCTAAGGACAAGCCCTGGGCCAGCACAGGACTCCCCTCCTCCAGCCTAGGTGGGTGCCCCTGGGGAAAAGCCCTGCCTGCAGCTGCTGGAAAACACAGGAGTGCTCGCACTGCCCAGCTCCTGTGTCTGACCACCAGGTTTTATTGAGCAGGGCAAGGCTGGAATGTGGCTGTGAGTATGTGAAGAGCCCTGGCAACCCCAATTCCCTCCCCACGAGGAGGGCTTCCCAGGCAAGTTCCCTGGCACCCTCCTGGGCTGCCCCGTGCCAAGGCTGGGAGGGACACAGCCCTGTAGCTTTGCCTGCCCCAGGTTTCCTTCCTCCCCAGCTGCAGGGCTCTGGCAGAACAGAGCAGTTTTGCAGCTGCAGCCCTCCAAGCCATCTCTGCTGGCCCCCCACATCATGCCGTCCCCAGCCAGCTCCAGCAGCACGTCCACCAGCTCCACTCCTCATTGCCCCCTGGATGCCCTCGAACACCCACACAATGCTTGAGCTCCTCATCTTCAGCCCCAGGCCTGGTCATGGATCCTTTTGTCCCTCTGCTGACGGTGCAAGGGAGTCCTCTGTTTCAAGCTGCATTCCCGCCAGGGCCAAGCAAGAGTCCAGTCAGCATTTCCCTGCCAGAGTCCTGCTCCCCACCGCTGCTTGGAGGGACACAGCTCCGCCAGTCCCCCACGCCGGGGGGAAACACAGCTGGCTCAAACCCAGGCAGCAGGAGCGAGGCCGGGGGCAGAGCGGAGGCTACCTGCGTGGTGTGCCACATCTGCAAAGAGAGCATGGCACGGGGTGAGCACCGCCAGGACTGGGGGGGACACTGGGACCTCCAGGCTCACCTGCTCTGCCCCAGATCCCCCCTCTCTGTGCCTGGCCCCTCTGGAACCAAACTGCAGGGGTAGGGACCACAGGCAGCCTCCTCATGGGGAGGATGGAGGGCGATGGGGCTGTAGGTGCTGGCAGAGCCCTGAGCAGGAGAGACTTCAGACAAAACAGGGGAATGCAACAGGAAAGTGCCAGCCACAGGCGCCATACCCCAAAAATGTCTGCAGTAAGAGCCCAGTCGGCACTGATACCACAAGCAGTTTAAGAGAGTCAGCTAAATGTAAGGAGGGAAAGGGTAGAGTAACCCAAACAATGACCAGCCAAGGACAGCGGGAAGGACACAGCTGGCAGCAAGATGAGGTTGAAACTGGAAATTCATGGATCCAGGAAACCCCGTGTGGTCTGTGATGGCGATAGAGCTACACGCTATCTAGTCACCCAGTGCATCCATTGCCACCCTGGCTGGGACTGGCCAGCTTTGAGCAGCTGAGCCTGAAGACTACTGAGCACCTATTGAGCCTTCAGTAAAAGGCCCATTTCCCTGCAGCCGCCCACTGTCACCTCTGTCCTTCCTTCTCCCATGTCTGCTCTGCACAAACCCCTCACTGCTCACAGCGTCAGTAAAGACCTAAAGGCTTAATGAAGCTGCTCATCCCAAAGAAAATGAACCCAGAAGACATTATCCATACTTGCCCCTGCTCACTTACAGTTCACAGTCTTTACGTCTCTTCTTGTCTTGTCTTCTCTTACCTCGGCCCTTGGACCTCCTCCTTCAAAAGGAAAGTACCACAAGAGAGGCTGATGCGTGGGAGATGACACCCACAGCCCCAGCTGGTAATGCTGCCCCTGACATCGCTTACCTTCCCAACCTCATCAGGTCCTGCCGGGGCCTGTGGGGTGGGAAAAGGACAGAGTGAAGCAGCTGCTTGGGCAATGCTGTCTGTTGAGCTGCTGGAGGTGGTTTACTGAGACGCCCCAGTGTGCAGCACAATCTACCTGTTATAATTCATGCTTAAAACAGACTCAGTATGACTTCTCTCCATGTTATCAACTCCTCAGCCAGGAGCTGATTGCAGTAGGCAGAGAGAAGGCGGAGACTGCTGACGGTGCAAAGGAGTCCTCTGTTTCAAGCTGCAAAGGGGTAGAGGATGGTCAGCTTTGGTGACTCCCTTGGGAATGTGACATTTTGCCCACGAGGCTGGGAAGCACAGGTTCAGTTTCAGCTGCTCTCAGTGACAGCTTTCATAGTTCAGCTGATTAAACAAGATGCAACGTACTGAGTAGCAAGTGGGATTTGCTGTGAAGTCTCAGTAGTGGTTCTCAGAAAACAGCCACGACATACTTGGCTTAAGCATCCCCTATGGGGGCCAAGGCCAGGACATCCACCACACCTACACTAAACTTCAAAGGGGAGAGATGTAAAGCTGTGGAAGGCATCTTAGAGAGAAGTTGAAAGGTGCTACAGAAGCAAGAAGTTTACACAGATTCAAAAGCAGCCTGCACAAGTCCTTGTAGGAGATCCCCTGGGAGTTACCCTAGGTAGGAAAACCACAACAGGCTCAGGAAATTCCCTGCATGGAAAATAGCTGGAAGCAGAGGAGGGAAGTAACACATGTGCTTCTTCCCACTCCCCCTTTGCATCCACTGACAGACACTCCAGAGATGGTGCGGAGCTGGACAGGCCTTGGGTCTGCTCCAGCACAGTTGCTCTTACAACTGCGGGGGAATACCGACCCGGGAATCCTCAAGCTCTTCTTCCAGGCAAGGACTGAGTCTAAGAGCTGCCCAGCAATGGACACTCAGTCCTCAGTTTTCACAATACTAAATCGCCCTGAGGCCACGGTGGAGAGCAAATGCCAGAACCCCTGCATGCAGGCGGTGCTGGAGAGGCTCTGCAGCGGGGACTGGCTGCGGGCAGCACCGGAGCCGCTTACTGCTCCCACAGCGCTGCAGCCCCTGGGCAGAGGGTCCATCCTGCCCAAGCTCTCACCACTGCTGGGACACAGAGAGCACCCCAAGGGCTTAACTATGTGCCAGGGGTCTTTGGCAGATTGGTGCTGCACATCCATCCTGGGCCAGCACTGTGTATCCACGCCAGGTTGGTGCTGCACCTTTTAAGCTTTCGTGTCGGCTTGGATGTAAACCCCTGCTCCCCAGCCCTGGATGGGGCAGGTTCCTTTAAATGGGGGCCCACAGCCCAGCCCTACAGCTTTCTCTTTGGGTCATGGTCATGCACAGGTAGGCCAGGCCATGGAGCTCCCTGCTGAGCCACCACCTTGGGCACGCTGCCCCACACCAAACACCTGCCCCACAGCCACCAGCCTTGCTCCATTACCCACGGGCAGGTCCTCTGGCCAGGGGAGCACACACCAAGCATGCCAAGGCAGCTGCAGGGATGGGGGGGCACAGACATCCATGCTCACAGGGCCAGGGTGCTGCAGCAGCTCCAACCCTGCAGTGCACGGTGCCCGGCCTGGCCACACAACACTAGCACCCCCTTGGCTGCAGGGAGCAGGCTGCCAAAGCACAGTGCAGCCTGCAGCTGAGCAAGGGCCATAAGTACCAGCAAACCCCATCTCAGAGACAGAGGGGGTGTCCCAGCACGGCCAGGGTACCCCCCAAGTCATTCTTGTCCCACACACAGCATGAGCTGGTAGGCTCGCTCTTGCTGGGGGGGCACAGGGGTGCAAAATGAGCCCGGCGGTCCCTACCTGCACTCGCACTGCTTGTGCTCGGTGAACGCCATCTCCACGTAGGGTGCCTCCCCATTTGGCTTTATCTTCAGGAGCTGAAAGAGGAGCAAAGGTTACTTCCCGGCCAGCGGCAGGAGGGGGCTGGAAGGGCTCCCTCGCCACCCCAGCCTCTCGGGCAGATGCGTGTCTAACCTGTTCCTCGGGACCTCCAGCAGCAGAGACTCCACCTCCGTGCACACAGGCAGCACGGGCCACCCCAGCAGCTTGGGAGGCTCTGCTAGTGCCACCCTATGTCTTCAGGGTTGTCACTTAAGTCCCATGGTCTTGGGATTTCTTAGCCTTAGAGGAGATTTTTTTTCTGTCTCTGCCTTTGTGGAAAGCTTTCACATATTTGACCACTTTGCACACCTCCCTTCTCTGATGGAAGTATCCCCCAGTCATGTTTTCCAGACCATTCCCACTGCTGCTGCCTCCTCCTGGCCCCCTCTCCCACAGCACGGAGCCTGGAGTCAGTACCATAGTGTGTCCCAAGCCCAGGGGTCCAAGATTTGCCCTGCCACACGACAGTGCACAGCCCAGCCTGGAGTACAGGTTGAACATCCAGGGGCTTCACAAGGTATGATCTTCATTGCTGTGATCCACACTAGTCCCCAGAGAAGTGTCTGGCATTGCTACCCCAAGCGCGGCAGCAGGATCCTTCCTGTGGAGGGAGATCTGTGCTTGGGGAGTTGCCTCCCATTCACATCAGGCTCTTGTTCCACCTAAGTCAAGACTTTTTGGAGACTCCTACCCCGCCTTCCAACACACCTTCAACCCCCGAGGGACCAAAATCACTTGTGATTTATTGCGGGCACTCTCTAGTCCATCACCCACAGCAAAGCAGAGCTTTTCGCTGCTCCCCGCAGCGGCAGTGGGCTGCAGTGTGAGGACAAGGGCTGCCTGGCTCACGGGGCAAAGCTGACCGGCAGCTCGTTTGCAGCCCGGGATCTCCCACCTCGCTTCGCACAGCTCCCACAGCGGGGACTGGAAACGCGGCTGGCACAGCTCACCGTGCCCCCAGCACACCTTCACTGTCAGCACCACCGCGGGCATCTCCTGACACACCAGAGCCTCCCTTCTCCCTGCAATCCTGGGGCAGCGCCTGCTTTGCCCCAGCAGGAAATGTCATGGGCAGCTGGGACACCCCCAGCCCCACTGCAACACAGGGAAAGTCTGGAGAGGTGACAGCAGTCAGCAAAATGGATCACGCAGAGAAGAGAGGGCAGGGAAGCAGGGAGCAAGGCCAGTACCACCAGGGTGTCACCTGGCCTCAGGGACAAGCTTGAAGAACAGGCAGAGAGACCCTCCTGGTTCGGCAAGCATTCGAGCTGCTGTAAGCAAGCCCCCTCCCCTGCTATCCATGCTGCTATCATGTCTGGAGGATGTGAAGCTGCAAGTTCACCCTCCTGGTACTTGGCGAGGAGCCCACCGCCTCCCCGGCGCAGCCGCAGCCCCGCAGCAGCGGTGCTTACCTGCATAGTGACCGTGTTTGTCTCCACGGGGACACAGCGGAGACCCTCATCCCCACAGCAGCCACCACAGCGCTGCAGGGAGACGCAGGAGGGTCTGAAAATGTACTCCACCTCGTTGGGGAACTCAGTAATGACGTCCACCAGCTGCTCCAGAGGCCGGCAGAAACTACGATTCCAGATCTCCCGGAAGGTCAAGACTGAAAGAAACAGGGGTAGGGGGCTATAAGGAGGCTGAGCTCAGCCGACCCACTGCCGGGGCTGGCTCAGCAGCCGCGGTGGGGTCCTACGTCCATCACAGGGGCACAGGTATGCAGGGGACCCCCTTGTGCCCCCAGTAAGCCCATCACCACACTGGTGCGGGGGGTATCACACAGACACCACATGCACCCCGACGGGCTCTTTCTCCACCTGCCCGGCAGCTCCATTTCTTCCTTCTCAGGCACCCCTCCTGCCCCCGCGCCCCGCCGCGGCGGGGCTCCCCCGTGTCCCCTGCCCTCCCCCGGCGGGCGCAGAAGCCCGGCCCCGCAGCGCAGGGGACAACCGTCCCCTCGGGTTTCCCAGCGAGGAGAGCGGGAGTGCCGAAGCGGGGTGTTCTCACTCGGGACCCCCCCCACCGCAGCCCCGGGGGAACGGCGAGCCCGGGGCAGGGCTGCGCTCCGCTCCCGGCCCGCGGCGGTGCCCGGAGCCGGCTGAGGGGGAGCGGGGCTGCTCGCAGCCCCGGCACAGCTCCCCGCTGCCCCCGCCGGGCACCGCCGCGGGGCTCCGAGGGGGTACAGAGACGACACCCCCCCCTCCCGGAGCTGCTCGCAGCCCTCCCAGCCGGGGCACCGGCGGCCGCCCGCTGCCAACTCACCGGGCGGCTCCGCGCTGGCGGTCCCCCGCGCCTCCGGGGCCTGCAGGGAGGGAAAGGCGGGCGCTGGCGGGGACGGCACGGGGGGACCCGCCGCCGTCCCCCCACCCAGCGCCGGGAGAAGCTGCCCCCGCGGCCGCCGCCACCCCGGGCGGCGGCACCGGCGGGGCCGGGCTGCCCCTCTGCTCCGGGCTGCCCCCCACCCCCCCTCGCCCCCCGGCTCTCACCGGGGCGGGCGGCGCCCCCAGCGCCCCGGCCACCAGCAGCCGCAGGAAGGCGCCGAGCAGCCGCATCGCCGCTCCCGCCGCCCCGGCACCGACTCAGCGCCGCCGCTCCCGCCCCGCCGCCCCCGGCATTGCCTCCCCGCCGCCGGGCCACCGGCCCCGCCGTGCCGCCTCTGCCTCCGCCGGGCCATGGGAGCGCGCCCCGCTCCGCCGCCGTATTTCACCGCCGCCGCCCCGCCCCGGCCCCGCCCGCCCCGGCCCCACCGCGGGGCGGGAGCAGGTGCCCGGCCGCGGGGACGGCCGGTGCCCCCGGGCGCAGCCGAGCGCCCCCCAGGCCCCGGCACCGGCCGTTTCCCCGTCGGGGTGCCCCGGGACTGCTAGCGACCGGCCGGTGCCCGGTGAATCCCCGGGGAACGGGAAGCACCGGGGCTGTGTCCGGGCTCCCTCAGCTTGCTGGGCTCCCCCAGGTCCTGTCCCCGGGTCAACGTGCGCTGCCCGGTGCCCGCCCGGCCATCCCGTGCCCACCCAGCTGCCCCCCTTCCCATCCATCCACCCCGTTTCCCTGCTGTTGCCCTGTCCCCACCCAGACACCCCATGCCTGTCCACCCACCCCATCCCCACCCAGGCACCCCATGCCTGTCCACCCACCCCATCCCCACCCAGGCACCCCATGACTGTCCACCCACCCCATCCCCACCCAGGCACCCCATGACTGTCCTCACACCCCGTTTCCCCCACTCTGCTCTGTGACTGCACACCCAGCCCCAGCTGTCGGACCTCTGGCAGGGGGTTTCCAGCCCCCTCGCCCCCAGGGACAGCATCCTGGTCCTGTCCGCCATGGGGAGGTCCCTCCAGTTGGGGAGGGAAGGGGGCAGAGCAGTTCCCTGGAGCAGGTCTGGGGCCAAACCCTGCAGCCAAGGGTAAACCCAGAGGAGCCCTGTGGCCTTTTCTGTTCTATTTTTAAGTCCCAGCAGCCAGGAAAGCTGGAGCTATGGGAGGTGGGAAGGGAAGAGATGACAGCGGGCAACACGATCCCCTGTGGGCCACAGGTCGCAGGGAAATAACGGGCTCTGTGTCCCTGCCAGGATTCACATTTCTGTCCTCCTGGGAGAGCAGGGAGGCTGCTCCAGGGCTTCCCTGCCCACCTCTGCGTGCGGTCCGTCCCTGCAGCATGAAGATGCCAGTGGCTTGTCGCCAGCCCCGTGGGGTCTGTCCCCAGGGGACGTGGGACATGCCAGTCGCCTGTCCCCAGCCCCACCAGGCCATGCAGGTGGCAGCAACTCAGGCGTCAGCAGGAGCTGGGCTCCGGCTGGAGCTTCCAGGCGATGGTACTGCTGAGTGTGTGAGAAAGCTGCTGGAGCGGGGCCTGGCAAATTAGCAGGGAGATGCTGCAGAGATAAGAGCACAGAAATGCTGGCCCCGCTGAGGGGGCCGGGTGCGCTGCAGTTCATCACTCAGCGGCACGGCACAGGGGCTGCCAGGGCGGCGTTCAGCGCCTGTTCATGCTCTTGCCGCTGGCTGGGCAGCAAGGAGCAGGTAATGTCCCCACTTCGATGGTTGGAGCGTGCCTGTGCTCTCCCTCTGCCACCCCACAGACCCTCCTGGGCAAAGGGGACCCCCCCAACTCCCCAGGGATGGTTCTGAGATGGGGGGCGAAGGGAGCGTTTCCTCCCATCCGAGAGCCCGGACCAGAGGCCGCCCTGAGCAGCAGCTGCTGCCAACTCGCTGGACAGACAGAATCCTGTTATTGTAAAGGCCGTGACCACACGGGGCCTCACGCCTGTCCTTGCAGGAAGGTCTCTCGGGGCCACCTCTCAGACACAAGGCCAGCCTCTGGCGCTGGAGCAAAGGGCTCTCCCCCGGGGAGCTGTGTGGCTGGGGAGACCAGCCCTTAATTGCCGAGTGCAATCCTGTTCCTGGTCTGAAGCTATTTCCTCAGAGGCCTTGGGCAGAGTTTACATTCCTTGGATGAGCATCCCCTTTCTAGGCAACACAGAGCAGAGACAGGAGCAGAGAAATAATATTTGGACACTGGTAACCTGTGACCAGCAACATCCTCCTGCAAATGGAAGAAACATCCAGCTGGCTGGGGCCGTGGCTGCTCGCCTTCCCCTCTGCTGCGCTCCTTCCCCAGGGGCCGAGGCTACCCTTCCCCAGTTGCAGGACAGGGCTGGAGGTTGATGTTATAAATGCACTGGTGTGTCCCTCGCACCGCCTCCCACCGGGCTCCAGGGAGCAGAGCTACACACTTTGGGAACAAGGGACAGAGGAGGCTCAAGGGACTGGCCAGGGACATAAGGCAAATAGAGACATTTCCTAAAAGGGCAGATGCCTCCCCCGCGGTGAGCACCACACGGTGGCCGTGGGCTGAGAGCATCGCCCTGGATATGCCACTGCCTGCCTGTGCCACCTCCCTGCCCCACTCGCAGTGCTGGGAGGGAGGCAGGTGGGGAAAGATGGTGCATCCCTATTGCGGGTGAGCCCCTGCAGTCCGGCGGGGACGGCCAGCCCCAGCACCCAGCTGCAAGCATGCCACGGCACAGCCCCGCCGCGAAATGGGATCCACCTCGGTGCCTCTTACACCTCCTGGTGAGGGGCAAGAGCAGGGGCCCGGGCTGCCTGTGAGCACTGAAGGAGCCCAGCACAGGCAGCCGCTCTGCCCTGTGAAACCTCACCCTGATCACCACAGGCAAGGTAGACTCTAGGTTACCTTTTCCATAAAACAGCCCCATTTGAGCATCAAAATCCTCTCAGGGGCATCTTTTCCCCCTGCGAAATCCCACCTTCTGCATCTCATGAAAAGAGCCCAACAAAAACTCATCCCTGCATTACTCTTAAGCTGACTGTAGCCAGGACCTCCTGTGTCATCCCTAAAGCCTTTGGAGAACACTGCTGAAATCCTCAGGGCATTATTTTTGTGCTGCTGCTGCTATTTAGAACACTGGAGTCAGTCTGATCAGGGCTGGAGGCTTCTTCCAGGGGAAGTGCCAAGCGCCCTGTGCTCCAGTGCCCGGCACAGCCACCCCCTCGGGCTGCCGCTGCCGCTCCTGCCCAGCAGGCGACTCTCCCAGCAGCTACCTATGTCCTGCACTGGGACGGGACTCCCAGGGTCAAAGCAGCACCAAGATGTAAGGCACTGGGCTCCTCGCACCCACCCTGCATCCCGGAGTGCTCTTGTTTCACCCTTGGTGTTTCATTCAATTGCTTTCCCCAGCCCTGTGATCCGGCTCTTAGACTCTCCTGAGCACCCCTAGCAGTGAGCACGGAGGACGATTCATAGCTACCACTGAAATAAAACAGCTGAATATTCCACAGGTTGTATCTCCGCAGTGGGGATGGAAGGCAAAAGGCAGAGGGTTGGAGGCTGGCTGGCTGGAGCTGCAGCTACCTGTGTGGGAGCAGGGATGGGCATGGTCTGGCAGGGGCTTCCCCAGCACCAGCCTCTCCGCACAGGGAAACTCAGGCCTCTCCACCAGGAGATTGCCGCTGATTTCTTCCGGGAAACATGGAGCTCTCCTCAAGCAGGGACTGCACCAGTGACCCCTGAACGGTCAGCATCGCTCCTCAAGGAAACAACTTGCAAACAGCCTGCCTGAGCCCTGGAGGACTCCCCAGAGCCACGCCGTGGCGGCTCCGACTCCAAGAGACGCGGGCAGTGGCACATCCCTCGCTCCTGGCGGCTGGTTCCCGTGGCGTCAGTGCCTCCTCCCAGCCCAGGTGCGCAGGGGGATGTGTTTGCAGAGGGGGAGGCTGACAATAGGGGGAAATGGGCCGTGCCGCGCAGCCCGATGGCGGTGGCTCGCGGCCCCGGCCGCTGCTGCCCGCGGCAGGCGGAAGCGTCCGGCCTTAGTCAGCCCCGGCCGCACGTGGCAGGAACTCTGCTGTTTGTTTTGGTTCCTCGGGATGGGAGTTCAGCCTCCCCGGGGACCCGTGGCCAAAACCACAGGCACCTGATGGCCCAGCTTTGTGCCTGGGCAGAGCAGGCTCTGGCCCCCCGGTGCCACACTGCCTGTGGGTCACTGGCGCTGGGGCCAGCCCGGGTCAGACATGAGTTTCAGAGGGAAACAGGACAGGCACTGGGGCTGCCTCAGAGCGCTCAAGTCAGGAGACCCAGGTGAGGGAAGCTGCAGCAAACCTGGCTGCTGCTCCCAGGCATGGCTTAAATCCCCCCACGGGGGTCAGGGACGATGCCACCAAGGAGGAAGTGACTGACACCACCAGACCCAAACCCCGCGAAGCCATGGCCCTCAGCCAGGCACTGCTCCAGGAACGGGTCAGCGGATGGCAGACCCAGCACTGCTCCAGCTTAAGGCCTTATTTTTCAGTGCTAGCCTAGTTTAATATCGAGGCTGAGCCTGGAGCAGGGGACAGTCGCCATCCCGCCAGGGCAAAGCCACGGGCAGGTGGCAAAGCGATGCCGGCAGCGGACAGGAGGGTTAATGGCGACCAACGCCCTCCCAGCCCAGCCGTCCGTCGGCTGTACCCAGTGACAGAGAGCACACACCGCCGGGCACAGCGCTCGGTGGCCAGCCAGCTGGGCAGCCCCGCACGGCAGGGACTGGCCAGGCCACTGGTGTTTGCTGGAGAGCCCAGCCCTGGAGCAGGGCGAGGCACCGGAGAGCCGAACCGCAGACCCAAGCATACGTGGGTGCCTACAGGTAAGCGTTTCATCAGCAGCCTCTGCAGGGCTTGCAGTTACTGCAGCGAAACACCAGCCCTTTGCACATGAGGTGCTGAGAGTCCAGAGTGGGAAGTGGAGACGCAGCACCAACGGCACAGCTCACCCTGCTCAGCCCCAGCTCCTCTCCCGAAGCCCTGGGTGGGAGGAGAGCCTGCGGGTGACAGAAAGCCTGCAGAAATTTCTCTCTGGCAGCTGCAGAGGGCTGCGCTTGGGGAAGCCCAAACAGGCTGCAACCAGGACAGACTGGTGCAGCAGCGTGTGCAGGACCCTCCATCACCAGCAGAGATGAAACACCCCAGGCCTGAACGGGGTGGGAGGGACGGGGTATGGCAGTCCCGGGGGGAGACAGGACTCTCCCAGCAGGAGCAGAGCAGCTCCTCTCTCCAGGAAAGGGACAGAGATTACTTTTCCACTGGAGAACCAAGCATATTCTGCACATCTATCATGTTTCATCACCCCTGGGACAA